CAGGTGTGAGATGGTATCTCATTGTGTTTTTTAAAAATATATTTTTATTGATTTCAGAGACAGAGAGAAACATCAATGATGACAGAATCATTGATTGGCTGACTCCTGCATGCCCCCTATTGGGGATCAATGCCCAAAACTGGGCATGTGCCCTTGACCAGAATCGAACCCGGGACCTTTCAGTCTGCAGGCCAACACTTTATCCACTGACCAAACCGGCTAGGGCCCTCATTGTTGTTTTGATTTGCATCTCTCACATGATTAGTGACTTTAAGCATGTTTTCATAAGGCCATGAGACATATGAAAACAGAATTTTTTTGTGACTAATAAAAAGAATTTATTAAACTCACTGAAATCACATGTCCACATACAATCATCATCACTGTGACCAGGCCACTGAGATGTGCTGATACCTCCACTCTGGGGCCTTGACCAACACTACCCAGACCACCTGGATGTGGAAATTGGCAGCTGTTAGAAAGGGGGAAATAGAAGTCATGTCCCCCACAGGCCATTGTCAAATAAAATGTCAACTTCTGGTTTCCACTCTGCCATATGAGCTTGGAAGTTCTTACTCTCATCCTTACAAGAAGAAAAAAATGAACAATCAAAAAAAACAGGAACTCATTTTAGATCCATCAGATCATTGAAGTCACATGGCTATGAAATTAACCTTTGCTGCTGCAAACCACTGGATTCAGGCTTTATTAACACAATACAATCTAGCACTAGCATTTGTGTGTGCGCGCACACAATCACACACACACACACACACACACACACACACACACGATCAAAAGACTCTGGGTGGAATTAGAAGAAAAGCAGACACCGAGGAGGTGACAATAGGAAGAAAAGGAGGTTGGAGGCACTTTTGCCTTGTGACAGTCCTCCTACTTTATAGCTACTACCCCTCATGAGCCTGAATATCGCTAAGAAGCACATGCTGCAATAATCCATTGTGCAGGCAGAGAAGAGACAGGCTCTAACAGGCACAATGACTTATCCAGGATCAAGAAGAGGTAAGAATGAGAGGTTGAGTCTGAGCCCAGGTCTGTTTCCTCAAATCTAGTACCCTGGTTGCAGCTAGACCTTGTGGAGAGGGTGTGTTGGTGTCACTGTGTACACTGTTGGTATTCCGTGGAGAAGGTGGGTGAGCAGTCAGCAGCCCACAGCACTGTCTATAGCTGTTATTAGGTGAGGGAAGTCAGGGGGGGCAATCCCAGGAAGTGAGGTCACTTCCTAATAGAACTTGGAACCCCCGTAACCAGGCACCCACTTTCTAGCAACTGCCCAACCGCCACTCACTTGGCAAGAGACAGTTGACAGTTCAACATGTTCTCTTGTTGTGTTCCCAGTTATCAACCGCCACTCACTTGGCAAGAGACAGTTGACAGTTCAACATGTTCTCTTGTTGCGTTCCCAGTTATCGGGGCTCTGGTTCCCGGAGACCCTGCAGTGAGAGTTGTTCCAGACTCTGTAGACGGTTCAACACTCGTGCCCGACATCTCTGGCCATTTTCAAGAAGATCCCCTCAGGTAAGAGAAGGTGGCCTGGGTCAGACCCATTCACGCCAGGCCAGCCTCCTCTGTGGGCCATCCCTGTGCAGCCCACATCCCTCCCCTTCATGTGGTGGGAAGAGGGACCTGAAGGGAGAACCGCGGGGCACGAACAGTTTTTGGAGCAGTGGATAACCTAGAGGTCCTGTTGTGATCACACCCCAGGGCAGGGCAGGCAGTTGGAGATGGGGTTCCAGAGGGGTCCCTTATCTGTGCCAATGGGAGTCTTAGGCCCTCAGGCTGTCATGCCTTTTCCTCGCCAGTGGAGGTCTCAGCAGATTACACTCTGTGTGTGTCTGGAGTGGAGGGTCACAGGGGTAGAGAACCAGCAAATTCAGGGCTCTGAGGCTTTGCACCTGGTGACTGGGAACTGTCTTTACAGAGCTCCGCACAGGAGAACCGACCAGAGCTGACAGATGGGGTCCTCAATTCCATGCCCCTGCAGGAGGGACAGATACCTGATATATCCTCAAGCCTGAAGCACCGCCGCAGGGTGAGTATAGGTGCCCAGTTGACCCAAACTCCAGAACCCCAGGGAGTCAACGGGACCTGGGTTCCAGAAGGCACCCTGCTACTCCCCTGAGATCCCTCCTAGTGTTCATCTCCCAAAGGAATGGGTCCTCCCAGGGCTGCACATTGTATGGGGAATGGGACTGCTTATCACCGTGATCCATGTCTTCATTGCTGTGGGACCTGGACCTTAAAACCTTCCGTTGCCATGACAGCGGTGCCACCCTGAACACATACCACATGTCCTAATATCCAGACCCTCCACCCCAGGAAAAGCCTCTGTGTTCTCATCTTACATTGGGATGTTTTGTCAGAAACCGCACAGGTGACACTGTTAATACAAGCATGTGCTGTCTGTCCTCTGCTAAGAAAATGACCTAAGATACTAATGTATTTCATATTCCTCACCTGAAATTCTACCTTTCCTGCCAATAACCTTTTCTCTTATTAATGTGAAAAACTTTCAAAGCTGTGAAAAATTTGTGTGTATTTGAGCCAAAGTGTCGACAATTGCGGGTGAGCAAAATCTCAATGGGTTGAGAGAATGCTCTGGAGAATGACAATTTTGCACCTTATTTTATACACTACAATCAAAAGTGCAGACTTATGTGGGTTCCATGAAACCCATGGGTGATAGATTAGGAAGAGAGGAGAAAGCAAAGTGGGGAAACTTCTGTGATTGGATAAACGGTAAAATGATAGACACATACTTCTTTTACAATGGTGGATGTAAGATAGTTTCAACAAGTCAACAAACTCAATAACAATGAAGGGATCTCTGATCTCCCCCAGAGCACA